CCTATTTTTACACGAAGAGTGGAAATAATGAGCAATAATAATCCATAGAACATCACCAGCAATTATTAACTTAAAAAAGATAAGTAAATGTAGTGAAATGGTGTATAAGTATAAATAATATCAGCATAAATAAAATAATATGCATTGTAACTATGGTAAATGGATACAAAATATAAATATTGAATTACTTTTACTGTATGAAAGTGAATTGCTGAACTGGTTTATTTATTCTTGTGGGTTTTATTTATTTTTGACAATATATTTTATGCTATTGCTAATACCGTTTTATATAAAAAGTGTTGAAGACATTCTCATAAAAAAGTAATTTCATATGTACTAAGAAGATTTATGTTTATGATATTGCGACCTGTCATTCATTATTCAGTGTAGTTTTAGATTTTTACCCATGCTTCACAAAAATATTATCTAATGTGCCTTTATGTCACTAGCAATAGGGTTATTAATGCATTAATTATAATATTCATAAAATCTCTGTTGATAAAATCATCTTGTCAGTACTGAAAATGTATTACAGTGATGCTTAAAGTCCTATTTTTACTCTAAACCTGGCTTTCTAGGTAAAATCTTCGATATCATAATCTTTCTGGACTTGGACCTACAGTATTTATGAGTATTGTGTTCAAATTGGGTTGTGTTCACTATCTTTATGTAAAGAACAGGCCACTCATGTGGTATTTACCACTGTGTCAAAATTTTAATGCTCTGCAAAAAATGCTCTGTAAGTATTCTGAATGCTCCAATTTGTGATAAAACATTGATGTTTCTCAAAAACTGGATCCCATGGAACTTAGCTAGTAGTTTGTGCTAAGTGTAATTTGAAAGAAAAAGTAATTTTAGTCGTATGGAGTAATTTCTACATTCTCCCCATGCTTTGGGGGTTTTACTCCAGATTCCTCCCAAGTCCAAAGACATGCGCTGTAGGCTGATTGGCATTTCGAAATTGTATATAGTGTGAATGTGTGCGCGATTGTGCCCTAAGAAGGGTTTGCACCCCGTCTAGGGTGTCACTCACTTTGTGCCCCGTGTTCCCTGGGATAGACTCCAGGCTCCCCACGACCCTGTGTAGGATAAGTGGTATGGGAAATGGATGAATGGATGGAGTAATTTCTGATTAATAATAATACAAGCATATCTGAGAAAATTGTAAATATTGTAAATAATGTCTCATTTACACTGACACTCTGACTTTACATTGTTTGTATAAAAGGTACATTATTAATATTACATTATATTTGCCAATGGTAGACTTGATTGTGGTGTGTAACACAGGGTTTGAGCTGTTTGGATTTTGAGTTTTGGAGTTTGGGCCCATGCCAAACTAAACAATACCATTAAATTTCCGTCTTGCAAGTAAACAATTTCAGACCAGCAGTTAATCATCGGTCTGCTGACCTCCGTGCCATTTGGATCAAGGGCACTGGCTTTCTAATCGGGCCATAGCAGCGTTTCAAAGTCTGGATTTTAGAAGTGTGTAACCAAAGCTGGAGGAAGAGAAGCAGCAGCAGGAGCCGGGCTTTCCCTCCAGGAATATTATATTTATCCCAAGCTCCAGTTTCAATTGAAATCCTTAATGGCTGTAATTAAGACTCCTGGAGCACTCCCCTCATGGATTTCCTAACGTTCCACTTGCTACCCTCTAAAAGCCAGTAGCAGGTCCTCATCAGAAGACAAGACACCTTGATTTTCAATACTTTTCCATTGGCATGTGTTCAACAAAGATATACCTGGCTCCGAATGGGATTTAATGGCCGGACTTGTTGGCATGACGATGGTCACATAATGTATGATGGGAAGATTATTTTTCAATGGAAGCCCAAAAAAATTGCCACCTTTGTTTTGTTGGAACTTCAGCATCACACTCACAGAGTGAGTGCTGTCACGTCAGAGCATTTATTCCTGATTAACTGCTTTTCCCCCCAGCATTACCTAATTCATTTTACGAAGCATTAGCATTAACATGATAGACTGTGCCGACTGAAAACATTCATCCACATTACCTGCCAATTTACAAGCACCTGCATTCTGTGTTTACTCAATAATTATGCATAGAGTCCAAAGATTTTATTTGCACCACAAGCAACAGCGCACAGCACCAAATGTGACTTGAATCTTTGTCTATTGAAGAATGAACGAATAACTGAAAATAATCTCACCAAGCAAAGTGTTTAACACATGAGTGTAATCTTCAGCACCTGGTTGCTAATGTTCTCAGTTGGCTGCTGATGTATAGTTGGGATGTATCTGAATACGAATACATTATCCAGAATGAACAGATAATGTGTTCTAAATGGATACAAATACAGATACATTTAGGAGGCACACTTCCTGACTGTGGGATGAACAAAGACTAGGTTCATTAACATGAATGTGCAACACTGCATGATGCATTTACAGCTTTCATTGACTGCTTTGTCAAGATCATGGTGGTGTTTATTTAGGCTATTCTTTTGTTTATAATTTGGGAAATAACCAATTGAATTTGTTAGAAAACATCACGGGCAGATAAGAAACATAAAATAATAACTGTACAAGCAGGATTAATAAAACAGTCTCATGCACATCACTAACTGAGACCAATTCTGAACTCAGGTGATGTAGCTGAGGTTGATTCACACACTATGCTGACAGTACTGGCAGACTAGAGTCAGAGTTTTTCCCCATGAGTTCAAGTGTTTCCAGGGGTTATATCCAAAGTGGTAGGGGGCATATTTTATATATATATATATATATATATATATATATATATATATATATATATATATATATATATATATATATATATATATATATATATAAACAATCTGAAGACAGATAAGGGTATTTAGAGGTCTAAACAGATACGGATCATGTCATTTTTTTTAACCCCCATAATGCACACATCAAATTCACATTCTTATTACTATAATTCAAAAGTTAGAAGGTGATGTACAAACTGTGTTTGATCTTCAGCAATCCAAGAAATGTGTATTTTTGCAAATTAACTCACATTAAACATCGAGAACGACCCTTCTAGGCTTCTAGCAGATTGATCATGTGTAAAATGGTAGAAACCCAAGAGTTCATTAGTAAAATATTAGATCTAAATGCCAAATTTAGAGTCATACATACTGGTTTCATCATACTTAACTGTTCTGTGAGGGAACACCAGTGAAGACTGATGATATCAGAGATTTCATGCTTTCAAGGTGTTGCTTGAAAAAGCTAAAGAAAGAAAGTGATTCAGTTAGTTTCAGAGATGCATTAAATGGTGATTTGTTTTTTGTATGTGTGAGAGAATAGCAAGATTCTAGATAAATCTGCTGCCCTTTTCTATAGGATGTTCCCTGTCACCACCATTCCCTGCAATCTTTATGTCTCAGGCCAACGTCATAATTATTGCCATGGGAATAAAAATGTATCATTAGAGAAAGCAGGGTAAGTTGTGTGCCATAAGGCTTTGAGGGAAGATGGTACAGGAAAGACAAACAGGTAGATGTGTGCATGTAATCACAGGTTCTTTGTTATTGACACCCAATGCCTATGTTTTCTTCTGATGACTTGCTATTCAGCCTGGGATTGTAAGTGGGTGAGCGACTATAATAGATATGTCACCTCTGATTTAGATGTTGGGATGCCCTGACAGTTTTGTAGCTCAGGGCAATACAGAGCTCTAAAGTTCACTCATGCACTCAAGTAGGAGCAAAAATCCTGGGCTGAAAATCAATATTGGGGTTCAGGGTTTATTGCAGTGAGTCACCTAGATCAAACTCTTTCCATTCCCGATTCTGCCCTACAGTATATAAAACACTGAACTTGGCTTCCTGTGTACTGGAAACTATATTTTTACTTAAATATTAAATATTATTTATTTTTAAATAAATACACTATACCTTAAATCTCTATAATGTGACCTATTACTCATTATTCAGTAATTCTTTTGTGAGATTCTAAAATATCTAGTGTCTAATATGCCTTTATGAGATATTATACGGCATCATTGCAGTAGGATTATTAAATATGGTCATAAAATACCCAGTTTTAAGTTGTAGTTTCAGTATTAACAAATTATTACACCAACATCAGGAAGTTCAATATATTGTATACACTGAAATTGGCTTTCTAGGTAAGCTCTTTTAAGGAATTTGTTGAAAACGTTTCTATTAGGGATGTAAACTATCAATGTACTATTCAGAATGAACAGATAATTTGTTCTATACAAATACAGATATTATTATCAAATACTATTTGATTATTATTATTATTTTTTTTTTGCCAGAAAGGTTTTTAGAGAATTTGGTTTAGACTTGTGTGCATCAGGACTGGGATCCTACCAGATGTAACAGACACTGGAGGTTTTTACTTTCCTGCAGGCCTTTCGAAGTAGTTTGAATTAGGCTTCTAACTTGTTTATATTTTGGGAAATCAAATTAATTGTTAGAAGATGTTGTGGGCAGGTACACACAAAAATAATAACTGAGTGAGCAGGATTAAAAACAGTCCCCTGGGCTCCTGAGTGGCGCAACACAAACACCTTCATCCTGTCATCCAGAGATGGCAAGTGAGAATCTCAATGATGCCACAATCATCAGTGGCCGAGAGTCCAAGAGAGCAAAATTAGCTGTGCTCTCTCCTATAAATCACAGTGACAATAGTGATGCATGGGCGTCTGTGAGCTCATACATGCGGAAGTGGGTGAATAGCACTTTAATCCGAGTGTGTTGCATGAGCAGCAGTTTGAAAAGATGCAGAAAATATGCAGCCGGCTTCACATGCCTCAGAGGAAATATGTGATGGCCTTCACGCTCCCTGGTTGGTAGCTGTAGTGTGACAGTGGAGAGATTTCTGACGGGTGACTAAATTAAGGAGAAAACCGAGGAAAATCATTATCTGGTGGCTCAACTGTTAAGGCTCTGGGGTACTAATCAGAAGGTCAGGGATTCGAGCCCCAGCACTGTCAAGCTGCCATTTTTGGGCCCTTGAGCAACGCCCTTCACCTTCTGGGCAATGATAACTCAGTGGTTAAGACGTTGGATAACTGATTGGAAGGTCATGAGTTCAAATCCCAGCATTGCCAAGCTGCCACTGCTGGGCCATTGTGCAAGACTGCTCAATTGTATAAATGAGATAAATGTAAGTTGCACTAGATAAGGGAGTGGCCAAATGCCATAAATGGAAATGGAAAAAAAAAATCCGTAGTAAAATTCTCATCTCTACCTGAGACCTTGAGTGAAGTAGCTGAATTTGAGGAAACCGAATTCAGAGCCAGAATTTGTATCATTACATTATATTACTAGTATATATATACTGTATATACTAGCTGTGTTTACCATCTTCATTAAAAGATACCATATGAATCTTCTAATACTCTTTCTCATAGCTCCAATTTGTGGCACAATTTTTATTTTTCACAGCCCATGGTTATTAGTTGACGCTAAGTGTAATTACAGAATTATTTCATCAGCAAAGAGTTATTTCTTAGTAGCAACACATCTAAGGAAAGTGTTATTATTCCTGAGTGTTTTGTCCCATTTACACAATCATTTTGCCTTTAAGTTTACTGTTTCAAAATTGACATTCTTTTATTTAAATTTTTTAAATGACATATTTTAAGGTCATAGCAAGGTCACAAAATATTGTTTGATATGCAATAACACATTTTGCGTTCTGGATAAAAACTGTAATAATGTACCTTTATTGCATCTCTTTTATGAATTAGAGCGATTACTTTTTTTTCATATGAGCTGTACCTTCAAATACAAAGACATATTTTCCCAGTCAGATTCATAGTTTTCTAAAATGGATATAAAGGTTTTCTTTTTTTTGGTCTACTATTGATAGGCATTTATAATATGAAAATTTTGTTCACATGATCATCTTTCTGTAACTTCAGCATTTATATTCATAACGGCAGAATAATATTACTGACAAAAGTGACTATGTTGCTTGAACAATATTGTTTTTTAAATGGACTCATATTTCTGCTCTGGTGTGTAATAATTTACACTTTCTTCACAAACATATTAAAGTGATCTTATACACTCTTTCACACATCTATATTTGCTGTCAAAGTACAAGTTACATGATAATTGACTGCCTGATGGTTTCATAACACTAATGCATTATAGAGACTTTATATATATTATAATACCTCATATTCCTGTAACTGTACCAGTTTGTTATTCGCATCACATTAGAAACTGCCCAACTGTTCAAATGTGCAAAGTTTTCCGACACTTAATCACTATCTGCCGAGCACTGCAATAAAGCTGTTATTTGTCAACAGACTCAATTCAATAATCCCTCAAATGTCAAATACAAGCAAAGGCTCATATTTCTTGTCATATTATAACAATGTTTTCTTTTTATTTCCTCCCTCCAGAAATCTTCTAGACAAAGACACATTCTCCAAATCAGACCCAAGTGAGTGCTGCTTTGTGCAGTTTTTTTTTTTTTAAATATTTTTTTGCACATTTATGGAGGCCTCCATTTATGACATTTGGACTTGTTTATATTTCTCACAATGTGCTATAATGTCACATTTATATGCTAGTGATTTCACAGTTTTTAGACACATTATCCGTAAAGTTATGGCTTATTACTCAGTTATTTATCTTAAAGTATGGTGCTTATAGTGAACTATACAGAGCTGCTGTTATTTAATAAGGTATGGCCATAGATTAATATTGAAGCCAGGAGTTAATATTTTGAGGCTAATTATTTTGTGGGAATTGGCAAAAAATTGCTTGAATGGGCTAATGGTATATCTAAGTTGCAATGCAAGTCCAGTATGTCTTTATGTGGCATCTACATGATTAGGTTCCTATGGCCACAAGGGGCTAATTCAATTGGCTTACAGTATCTGTATTAAACTCATTTTACAATACAATGGTCGTCATGATTTAAGTACTTAAGTAGTTTTGGCTTAATATGTTAATTTATAGCCAAACATGATTAAAAAGTAGCCAGCGTGACACCTCAGCAGTTCTGTACAAATGAATAATAAATATGCATTTACTAGACTGATATTGGCATTCTTGGTAAATATGAGCAAAGAAGGCTGTGGAAAAATTGTATTTATTGTTAAAACTTTTGCTATTTTGTTTAGAAAAATTCACAAAAATAATCTGCTCTCATGGATATGAAACAATTCCAAACACAACACAGGGTTAACAAAAAAAAAATCTTTCTTAAATATAGATGTGCACCAATTATTGGAACCACTGTGAATTCATATGAGAAAATATATATTAGAAATATATACCCATTGATATTTTAAGTTTTTTTTTTAGTACACCTTGGTGATTAGGAACAGGAAATTGTTCAACCATGACTTCTTGTTTCACAGGGGTATAAATATTAGGTAACACATGAGCCAATTTCCCTTAGTCATTCATAACAATGGGTAAGAACAAGGAATATAGATAGCTGTGATGTGCGGCAAAACGTTGTTGAGCTTCACAAACTGAGAAGTATCTATAAGAAAAGAGCACAAGCATTGAAAGTGCCCATTTTCACCATCAGGGCAATAAATGAGAAGTTCCAGTCAACTGGAAATGTTATGAATCAACCTGAAATTGGACTTGTGTATATATTGTCTCAGCACACTGTGAAGAAGAGAGTTTGGGTGGACAAAAAATCTCCAAGGATCACAGCTGGAGAATTGCAGAAGTTAGTTGTGTCATGGGGTCAGAAAGTTTCCAAAACTACAACCTGAAGACACTACTGCACCTTCAAATGAGATCGGGTTCTATGGTCAGATGAAACCAAAATAGAGCTTTTTGGTAATAAACACCAGAGGTGGTTTTGGTGCACACAGAGAGGTAGCCATATAGAAAAGTACCTCATGCCCACGGTTAAATATGGTGGTGGCTCTTTAATGTTTTGGGGCTGTTTTGCAATCGTTTGATAACAATGAGAGCAAACTATTTTTGTGAATTTTTATTTTTGTTTTTATTTTTCACAGCCTTCTTTGTTCATATTTATTAAGGCTGCCAATATTAGTAGAGAGCAATGAATATATAGTCCAGTCTGGTAACTGCATATTTACTATATATACAGTTATGTGAAAAGGTATTTGCTCCATCCTGATTTCTTCTGTTTTGGTGTATCTCATAAATAATTTAAAAAATGAAGTCAACACTCAAATCAATCAATCAAATCAACACTTAAATAGAACTTTTTCAACAGCATGAAGTTGATTAAAAGGTCTTACCCAGTAACACACTATGCCAAAACTGAAAGAAATTCCAGAAATGGTGAGGAAGAATGTGATTGAAATACATCAGTCTGGGAAGGGTTACAAAACTATTTCAAATGTTCTGGGACTCCAAAGAACCACAGTGAGAGCCATTATCTCCAAATGGAAAAACTCAGCAGAGTAGTGAACCTTCCCAGAAGTGTCTGACCTTCCAAAATTCCTCCAAGAGCACAGCGACTACTCATCTAGGAAATCAAAAAAGAGCCTCGGACAACATCAAAGGACCTACAGGCCTCTTGTGCATCCTCAAACCTTTTGGGTGAATATTCTGTGGATTGAGGAGTTGAAAGTGGAACTGTTTGGAAGACAGGAGTCCCGTTACATCTGGCATAAACCAAACACAGAATCCCACAAAAAGAACATCATACTTATGTCAAGCATGGTGGTGGCAGTGTGATGCTGTGCAGATGCTTTGCTGCTTCAGGGTCTGGGCAACTTGCAATAATTAAGGGAAACATGAATTCTGCTCTCTACCAGAAAATCCTGAAGGAGAATGTCTGGTCTTCAGTCTGTAAGTTGAAACTCAAGCGCAACTGTATTATGCAGAAAGCCAATGATCCAAAGTTTGGAGTAAACTCAAGTCCTACACGTAAGTGAAAGATCCCCAGTTATCATAAGCGTTTGGTTGCAATTATTGCTGCTAAAGGTGGCACAACCAGGTTCTAAGTTTAAGGTGGCAGTTTGTTTTTCACATGCGCATTAGATGTTGGATAACTTTTTTTGCTTCAGAAAAAAAATATAAAAATAAATAAAAACTGTATTGCGTGTTTATATAGGTTGCCTGTTGCCACTATATATATATAGTTCTTTTTCTTCTGTTTTTGTCTATATCTCATACTACATAGCTTTCACAAAATTAGGAAATGCCAGCTTGAAAAATGCACTCGTACAGTTACCTGAGTTCCAAGATTTGCCTTTTTAACATGACCTTTCACATTTTGTAGTTGGTGTAATTGGTGAATTTGCTTTCATGTATTTTTAGAATCGTTTCTGAACAGCTGTTTGTAATAATCAGGAATAAGTACGTTTTGGCAGGTTTTTAGTAATGTTGTTCTATAGGCAATGAAAAACATGAATAAATGTAGCTCATGCAATTTACTTCTCATTTCTGTGTAATTGCAAGGAGTGAAAATACTTGAATTTATTTTTAATGTGGTGAATATATTGTTTGTCATCTAATAAGCATTTGAATCCTATTTAATAGATCACCATTTGGTATGTCTGATACTCCAAAGATTCTGCCAGATTATACAGCATATAATTAGTATACATTGCTACTTTTTTACCCAACTATGAGAAACATAAACTATGAGGAACTTAAAACCAAAGAGGCTCTTTGAAGATGGAGGAGCTCAGGGAGAGACTCGGCACTCACCAGCCTGTCAGCATCTGATATTACACCACACAGATGCTTCAGAAGTGTGGTGTGTGTGTGTGTGTGTGTGTGTGAGAGAGAGAGAGAGAGAGAGAGACTTCTTGAAGTTTACTGACAAAACACAGCTGATGAGAAATTATAGAAGTGTGTACAGATGTTCGTATATTATAATGAATAATTAAATTAATAATCATTCTTTCTTCCCATAGTGTGTGTCCTGTATACACAAGGAGTTGAGACGAAGCAATGGAGAGAGGTAAACAGACATAAACACAAATAAAATGACACAACTAACCACATCTTTATGAAACATTTTCCTTTAACTGTTCATACACCCACAAGGCTACTTTCAATTATGAAACTTATCTTTGAAGGGCTGAAGGTTTTCAGCTCAGCAGATCTTAGCTGGTGACCAAAGTCAGAGCCTCTGTTATGTCTGTGT